GTGTGTGTGTGTGTGTGTGTGTGTGTGTGTGTGTGTGTGTGTGTGTGTGTGTGTGTGTGTGTGTGTAAATATTTAGACTTCTTTGTGAGGACAGAAAATTGGCTACTAAACTTGTGGGGACCAGCACTTTGGTCCCCACAAGTTTAGGCATTCATTTTTGATGGTTAGGGTAAGTGGCTAGGGAAAGCATAATGTCAATGAGATGTCCTCACTAAGATAATGAGTGTGTGTGTAACAGAGAGAGATTAACCTATGCCAAAACTGTAGAAGCACACATTGTGCAATCAAGCCTCGTGTTTCAGACTTTAAAGCTGTGTTTCTGTGATGAACCGTCTGAGGCTAGTTAGGTGCAAAAGCTTTGGAAAAGTTTTTTTATCTATAACATATAATGGGATTGATTGTAACCGTAGAAACAAACCTCTGGGAACATGCTACATCTTTGTACAAACACCAGTTAATTACAAAATGAACTAGGAGATGTTGTAGAGCTCGTGGAAATGAGCCTTCGCAGCTTCAACGAATGTAAATGGACGCATCTGCAGTACCTGATTGACCGCAGGGGGAACCCTGCACAGAGCGAGGAGTCTCTCCAGCTGCAGGATGCTGAAGTTGGACACGCCGATGCTCTTTACTTTCCCCGAGGCTTGCAATGCTTCCATCCCCTGCAAACACAAGACAACTTTTTACAATTTAGTTTGCCTGAAAAAAATCTGCTTTTAATATCAGTTAGATCACAGATAAAAATGTAAAAGATTGTATAAGAATTTAGTTAAATGATGCATGGAGCTGTATTTATATGATTCACAGTTCACATCTGGGTCATAACTATTTACTTTGACCATTTTATTATCATTTATGGTTCATTTATCTGTCATTAACATTTACTCATATGATTATTCAGTGCTGTTATTCAAACAAGCATACAGTCTGTATCTTCTTACCCTCCACACATCTACGTAGTCTACGTCAGAGGTCACCATCTTTCCATCCTTCCTTGGGAAAAGCTCATCACCCATTTTCTGCAGTGAAATTAAAAGTCCATCAGACAAATGGCACATCTTTCCCCACAGTGCACCCTCCTTCAGTTCTAAGGCTTTCATTCCTTTTTTTGAGCAGTGTATTTTTAAATACAACCTGACATGAACAACAACTCCTGACACATTACACCGTGTCGATCTAACAAAACCTAAGCCAGGATGCAGAAGCAGAAAAACTGCATCCAACGTTTCAGAAGCTCGTTCAGCTGTTTTTAGCAGCAATGACCTTCCCAGATCGATGGATAGTTCCTCCTCTAAGATCACTGCCGATATCTTTCCTCTTTGGCATTTGTTAAAACACACACCAGAATATTCTAGACCAGCACACTTCCACAACGTCTTCTTTTACAGAGGTGCTCATGCTTGCTGATTTGGTTACCAGCACCTAGCTCCTTGAATAAATTTGCCTAGAATGTCTTTATTGTTAAAGTGAGTTTAACAGATGGATACTGCACTGGAGTCTCTGCTTTTATCTCCAATTTGCCTGAATGGGAATTGAATACATGGTTGACTCCTGAAGGTCGACTATTCCAGAAGATGAACTTATTCTTAAGTCAAAGCCAAATGAAGAATGGCAGAATAAAGGACAGTGAAACTGTCAGAATTGGAAATGTCTGCTCAACCTTTAGGCCAACAGGGAAATGCACAAGATAAAGATCCAGGTAGTCCAGTTGGAGATCACTTAGAGACTTATTGAGGCACACAGGGATGTCTTCTGGGGCATGATGGGTACACCACAGCTAGAAAAGTTAAAGCACAACGAGATAAACATTAACATACAGCAGCGGGATGCATACATCTGGGTACTTTGAAATAATAATTCAATTCATTTTTACAGACAAAGAAAACCCCAACAATCATATGACCCCCTATGAGCAAGTGCTTTGGCAAAAGTGGAAAGAAAAACTCCCTTTTAACAGGAAGAAACCTCCAGCAGAGCCAGGCTCAGGGAGGGGCGGGGCCATCTGCAGCAAACGGTTGGGGATAGAGGGGAGGAAGATGGGACAAAGACATGCTGTGGAAGAGAGCCGGAGATTAATAATAACTAATGAAATATCAAC